ACATTGAGATCGTTCAACTCTGAATTTCTTTTACAAATCAGGCCACTGTTCTCTGTTCTCTTCCAAGATGACAAATCGACCGTGGCCTCCGAGAAATTCCCGGTCAACAACCTCTTAGTCTTCTCAGTCACAATCCTAAACCAATCTCCTCAACCAATCTTCACCCGCGTTGGTTGGGCCAAGATGCTTTGCTTGCGGAGGGCGGAGGGGTGTCCAATCCAGCTTCAACTTGAGCCAAGTGCGACATGATTTTCACACCCCAAATGCCCCAAAACTCGGGCCAGCAAAAGCACCTCTTCGTCAAACCTGATTGGTACTTGCAGGGGGGTCAATTGAGGGTCCACGAATCGAAGAAACGAATCTTCTGCAAGCAAACTGTCAGAACAAAATGCCAACCAGCTTGGCTGTCTAGCTGCTAGCTGATGGAGTCCAAGAGATGCTCGCTGTTGTAGACTTGCGCAATGCTACCAGCAAGAAGCGATCCGTGTTACATGCAAGGGAGCTATAAATTGGCCGCGGGAGATTAAGTCACCGGGCCTGCACTGGTCATCATCAATCTCTACATATTCCCTTGTAGGGCCGGGGATCTCTTCTGGGGATGCCGGAGGGGTTCTCTGACCATTTCTCTGACCGTTCTCAAGGGCCGGGCACTCCACCAGCTTTGCCCATGGCGCTTAAGCCTGTGCCAAGAGCGTGAAAGCATTCGACGCGACGAAGGACGTTGATTGCCAAACTCCCACCAAATCACCTATCCAAGCTAGGGAGTTGCCAAAAATGAACCCAATAAATCTATATATATATATATATAAATATCTACAATTCACTCCCTCAATCTCGCTCACCAAACTAATTTCTGGTGGCGGCAGCAAGCCAGAGGGAGCATCAGCCCAGGTGTCAGCCACGTCACGTCAGTTAAACATCCGAGATGCTCCACCTCGTTCCACTTCCTCTTCAAACAGTTTGGCCATACGGCATGTGCACAGCGACCGCCTGTGATGTTCCAGGCCCATTGCAGGAAGCGCTGCGTCATGGCCTCACCAGACTTCGAGACCTCACGCTGGCCGGGTTCCGGCGGGTTTCGGCGAACACGCGCTGACCTGACCATGCTGTTGCAGGTGTCACATTCTGCCTCGGTTTGCAAGCGAAAACAGCCCACATGGTCGACAAGTGCTGGTCGAAAGCAAACCAAAATGGCTTTTGCGTTCTCAAATTCTACAGTGTCAACAAGGGGCCCGCTCTTGATCGATAATGGAACGCAATGGCTTTTGTTGCCCCAAGTCTGATGCAACACAATGTCTTGTAAAGTTTTTTTTACATACAGCATCGTACAGCATTGATGTTTGTTGAGCTTGTCAAGCTACGGCATAAAATACTGAGCAGGACTTGAGAAGAAAAAACGGCTTCATCTGGGCTGCCAGCAGTGGATGCGGCCTCGAAATCCTGAGGGTGAAACTCATCGCGTGCAAATGATTGGCAGCTGGACCTTTCAGGAGCTTCCTACTAACCACTGTAGATGGTAGCGCTGCAAGCAACAAATCCTAACAAATAAATAGTCCACAATGTGGTCGGTGAGGAAAAGTTTGGGAGCAGCAAGGTTGACTTGACGACTGTACTGACTATTTGTGTTGAAGCCTATCCGTTGGAGCATTGTTTCAATCACAAACTCTTCACGCACCTGCACAACTACTTTCAGCATTTGCTTCTTTTACAAGAACCATGGCTCTATCCACTCGGCAACATGGTTCCCAACTGCACGAACCTTCAGAAACGTTCTTCCCAAATGGAAACCGTCCACTCGTCCAATTCACTCGGTCCGGTCGTGAAGAGTTTCCGGTCCGCCCCGTGGGCGACCTGTGTGGCCAGTTGGTCCACAGCACAATAGAGCTTCAAGTTGGGCAAGGACCAGGCCTGGGGAAACCAACGGGGTTGACTAAGTGAGGGAACATGGGCCATTGGCCCCAAAGCACAACACTAACTCGAGCCTGCCATCTACCTTCTCTAAAACATTCTAAAACTAGCATGCAACCTAGGATTTTCTTACCTGGAAAACGGATGAGGGACTTGCCCACTGCTGTGTATCAAAAAGTCTGATTGATGGGGATTCCTGTGGATCCTCTCATGTTGAAACACTCTACAAGGAAAATTATTACGACTATATAACTAATTCCTTGCAAACTCTTGAAGGCTCCTCCTCCACGATGCTGTGTATGACTTGGTGTACGCGTACCACGCTTACGTGCTCTCTAGCGCAAAACGCCTCAACTGAACAAAATGCTTATCTTGTGATACGAGAAGTATATACGTTGGGTCTATCCTATCACCAGTAACAGTGGATGATGATTGATGATGATGATGACGATGATGCTGGTGATGATGATGATGATGATGGTTGGTAGAGGCCTTTCTCTATAATTGTGACAGTGATAATTGTTTACCAACTGTTACAGGTAGTAGGACAAATCTCGTTCCCTAGCTGAGGATTTTGCGGCAACATATATTGCGGACCTATCGGTCATGCAATGCAGCACAGGTCCTGTTAGCTGAGCTGCCAGATTCGGGACGGGGACGCATGCCACAATTTCCAAGTTGGCAGCGTCAGGTCATTCTAGGTGAAGTGGCCAGTTGCTTCTAGTTTGATACTACTATACCGTACCTGCATACAGTAACTGCTGCTATAGGTGGTCCTGGCCGGGCCCCCCACACTGTCAAGTCCACGTGGTAGCAGGCCAAGGGTAACTCCTAGCAGCTTTCGAAGATCCGCTCCATGGGGAGCAAAGGTGAACAAATGTTGCTGTTTCATGCTTCATCATGCTTCCATAACCCCAGATCGTCCAAGTAAAATTTGCGTAAACATTTGTAGGCCTGTTCATTTACAAAACAAGCCAGAGTTTTGCATCACGTGATGGGATTGGTATTAAGTCATTAAGTAATATATATGTAACCCCTGAACCTCCCTCTCTAAACGGGTCATCCACTCAGGGGTTAAAGGTGTTAGCCCATATAACTGTAACTTATGGCGGTGCAAAAATCTTGACATTTAAAGAAATTTCAGAAATGCCTGTTTGATGTGGCTAACCAGGTTCAGGCAGCGGGGAACTAATATAAGTTTCTGTCAGTTTAGGTGCGCCTCGCAAGGGTTTCCGACCCACATCAATTTTGCACTCATTCTTGTCATTCTTGAGTCTTGAGGACCGTATATTTCGACAGGCCTGTTGAGTGATGACAAAGCAGTAACAGGGCACCATCAACTTGGATCACATGTTCCAACAAAAGCAGCCCCGCTGAATGGCTTAGGTGCTGCGGGCTTTCAATAGTGCATCACCAGGGCAAATGTCAGTGAGTTTTTTGCCGGGTTTGGCTGAGTTCTCCGTCTCTACATGCTGGACAATCTTGGAAATTAGAACCGTACAGCCACAATGAATAGAATTTACGGAATCAGTGCTCACATCTCTGTCCCTGGCTCCTTCACCAAGCGCTCAGCACCTTTCTTTGAGACCTGGGACTGCGCGGGTCTGTGATGCAATCGGGTCAGTCCCAAGGAAACTCCTGAGCGGTGGATATATATATATATATACACAGAAATATGCATGCATACATACATATATATATACAATATAAATACACAGTATATATAATACATGGTTCTCCCTCTCTCTCTCAGCTGGCACCTTACTTGGCACTTGAGTGTGAGATATATATACTGGTGCTGCTGGCCATGCCTAGCTGGCACTAGTAGATCGCAAGGATCACCACAAACCACTCGGCGATGTGCCAGGTCGCAACACCCACCCAGCCAAGTCACCAAATAAGCATGAGTGCCTGGCAGTAGGTGGTGGGCTGAGCTGTTTGGGCATCCCCTCGTTGGGAAGCCTTGTCTCCCTAGGTAGTTGCTACTAAATCAAGTACGTCAAACATGGGCAGCTGCTGTATGCACCTACGGGACTCCAGCATTTCAATCTTCCACTAGAAGCAACATCAAATGGATTTCACCCCAAATGCAATGCACAAAACGATTTGAGCTGATATTCTTTGGAAGGTGGGGCACCTCTGCCGCTTTGTGACTAACTAGTGTGATCATGTCACCTACATGGCAAGTGACAGCACTTCAAGGGCTTCTCATGAGCCATCTGTGTTGCCACCAGGTCATGCAAATGAGCCGGGATGAAACTCTCACTTCGCCAGCCTGCAGGTCGATGAGGCACGAATACTCCAGGCCTTACGCGCCAACGTTCAGGTGGCCCACCTCTAACACCCTTTGAAGAGCAGTCTCTCGACACGATATGGAATCATTGTCCAATCATTGCCCCCCTCCTCCGAGTTGGAGTTGCAGATCACAACTCTCTGGGCTGGTGGCAGCTATGTGATCTTGAAATCGAAAATACATATGGGCTCTTCTATCAGATTGTGTCAAGAGAGCCCACCTTCCCCAACCCCCCCCAAAAGTAGAACCCTTGCAAGCATCAAGGCTCAAATCATCAGGTGACCTAGAAAAGGAACTGCAATTGCCCATTCCAACGAAAACAAACAACAAAACAGCTACCACTACCGCACATATCAAATCAAGGCAGTAACCAGCGGTGTCAAAGACAAAAAGTAATCTCAAGCCGGAGACTCTAGTGGCTTGCATGCTATACAGGAACTGGCGAAAACAATTGCATGTTGAGCTAGATTGCATTGGATTGCGCTGGTGCGGCGGCTGTATGTGATCATCTGCTCCAGTAACCTCTTGTTCGGTCTAGCGGGAGAAAACCATGTCCTGAAGTCACCTCTTAGCTCAACCCGAAGGCTGCAAAGCTCGCGAGTCAAATATAGCGTGCCCAATCCGAATCTGTTCAATCAAGCAACCTTGTTACTAGTAGCTTCTTGTTACTAGTAGCGATGGCCTCCAACCTACTTGCGATGGCCTCCACCTAATAGCGTCCTACTGTAATACTCAAGGTGCAAGGAACGATAGAAAGCTGCAAAAACCAGGAGCAATCAACACTTATTGTAATAAGATTGGCGGACCACTTTTTGGATACCACAGCAGGTCGAAGAAACTCCGGCCGATCCCAACAGCCAAGGGCGGCATCGGTGTCGGAGATCTACGATCCGGGTCTCAAGAGGCTAAAATTTGTGGCGCAGCATCTGAGGCTGATGGCTCAGCTGGCTGCCTATCCAAGAATCTCCAAACTACTCTAGAAAAAGCAATAGTAATTCCAGCCTTCTCACGTGTGCTCATTTGGGGCCTCTGGCTTTCACAGCGTGACTGTGCAGTCCCTTTTGCATCTCTTGAGGTCCTAGGTCTAGGCGCTAGTTCATCCGCACAGGACGACCAAAGCTACTCACGCGGAACCTAATTCTGCTCTAAGACTAGCACACCACATGAATAAGTTCATCGTTCATCTCATGGATTCCAAGTATCTCTTTCCTGACGGTTTCAGAGTAGATTTAAATCCCAAACATCCAAAATATCTGGGGGATTTTGAAGGTGTCCACCACCTTCAAGGCTGATTTGGGCGTTGACGGGTTTGAATGCTGAACATGGCCCGCTTGATGAGTGAGAAAAGGTCCATCTCGGTCATAAGCTGGCTACACCAATTAGCAATGAGAACAGACCAGAGCTGAACATGTTCACCTCCCCCTGTGTTGCCTAGTCTCGGTTCTAGTAGCGTCCTTGCTCCTAGTAGCGATGCCAGGAGCCCCTAGTAGCTTCTTGTTCCTAGTAGTACGGCCAGGAGCCCCTAATAGCGTCCTTTGCTCCTAGTAGTAAGGCACTTGTTACTAGCAGCGATGCACTTGTTTCTAATAGCTTTGCCCCAGCCCTTCGGCTCCACAGAACCCCAAAATTGCCTTGCTAGCGTTGACCACCTCAGCGCTGCTTGATCTGAGGCCCTCCAAAGGTCTTTTCGATGTTGCCCAAAGCCGTGTCCCAGTTCACCTAGCACTTGGAAAAGCACAGTTCAAAGGAGTAAAACCAACCTTCAAAAATCCAGCGCCTCTGGTTAGGACTCTTGGACCACAAATAACTTTATCATACTTGATCCACCATCTCCCTGATCTCCCCCCTCTCTCTCTATCTCTCTCTCTCTCTCTCTCCTCTCTCTCTCTCGCTCCATCCATCCATCCCCTTCAGATCGAATTCTGCCCCAGCTGGGTTGGAGGGAAGAATGGGGCCACGCAGGTTCGCTTAGGACTTGATGTTGAGGAAAACACACAGCCTTCCAACATCATCCAACTAGTCTGCTATGTCTAGTCTGCTATGTCTAGTAGGTTTTCAACACGGTCCTGTGGGAGAGCAATTGAAATAATCCAGGCATGGTCTGAAACCACTCCTTCTGGAAGAGCTCATCGACGTTGTTCTGCTTGGCCACCAGGATGGCACGCTTTCCGTAGGGTACAGACTTGAAAAGCTCCACGGCCAAACCTGGAAAACTGCCACGTCTGGGGCTCTGGATATCTGGGGCCCAGTTTGAACGACAGGTTGTACCCTTGCCGCAAACTAACATAGCCTCAGTTTGGTACAAAAATATTTGTCTTCCACACCTATTTGAAGGGGGGCGGTAACTGTTTTTTTGGGGAGAACATGGATTAGATTTTGTATTCAAGTTTTTTTCAGCTCCACTACCGGGACCGTGCTCCTCCAGGGCTCATCTCGGCAGCAAGCCAGACCCAGCCCTTGCCATCATCCTCAACCTTCTGCGTCTCATCAACGCCGTAGCCCACACCGCCCTTGGTCACCTGGTGACGACCCGCTCAACGACCACGCCCGTAGGCAGGTGAAGCTTCCGAAGTCGCCAGCACAAACATGTCGGACAGCACAAAGGGATCATCTGCTGAAAGCATTGGTGAGAGACTTGCACTAACACTAACCTGCTCAGTCTCATAGTATACCGTGTGCACCGTTATTGTTATCTCTCAGATGCTGCGACGTTACAAACACCTCATACATAAAGGCATCTTCACCATGCCCCATGCCCTAAATCCCTTATCCCCCCCCCTTTGACCGTTGGAAACGCCAAGCCACAAACATGGGGTTGGCCATCTGTGCCTTCAATCCGGCGACGCCCACCGCGATGTCCTTCTTGCCAATGTTCCCAGGAGGTGGTCCCTTCCTTAGCATCCGAGCACAAGTCCCCGACCCAAATCGCCAAGCAGAACCGGCGTTCAAATGCCCCAAACATGTGGTCTTGGCCGTTCACAAGTTGGAAGAACACACACGGCTGATGCCAACCGGGACTTACTCATCATATCATCATCGGCGAATCATCGGATAAAACACCTGAGAAGCTGCAAAACGAAAGCCAGCGTTTTTTGTCCACGAGCACGTTGTTGGCCAAAGGCAGCATGCAGCATCGCGCACGGCGTGCTTCCGTGCACCCCCTACACACCGTGTGCTTTCTCAGCCCCCCGTTCTTACTCAGCTGGCGCCTTGCCAGGTATAGATACCCAGGGTAGCTACAATTCAGATACCAGGTATAGTACTTCAAGTTCCCTTTCCGTCAACCGCTCGATAACCTTTACACACGCACAGCAATCCACAGCTTTGAAGTCTCATTCATGCTTTGAATTATATACGTGTGTAAGAGGTATAGCAACATAGCATGTATACGGACCGTAGCTACAAGTCTGTTTATACATCTATTGCACTTCAACTTCCCTACCCTGGGGCTGGCTCCCGACTGCCCTAGATATAGGCGCGAGCGCGCGGACCCAGGGCAGCTACAAGGCAGTTGCCAGGTATACCTAGGGTAGCTACAATTCAGTTGCCAACAAGCAACCGAAGACACTTGCATTTCTTAAAGTAAAAAAACACCTCCAAAACCTTGCTTCCATGCACCCCTGTACACCACCTACTTCCGAGTGTATTTTCTCAGGCCACCCCCCCCGAAACCACCCTCTTACTCAGCTGGCGCCTTGCCAGGTATAGATACCCAGGGTAGCTACAACTCAGTGTAAAAGGTAAAACAACATAGCATTTATACGGACCCAGGGTAAGCTACAATTCTGCTCCCTGGCGCGGTGGGTATCTATACCTGGCAAGGCGCCGGCTACACCTTACCAATGAGATGATGCAAATGATGCAAGCTGCATTTCTTGCATCACCACCTCCTCAAAAATCACAAAAACTCAACCTCAAAAGCCTACTTCCATCCGTGCCTCTCCCCCATCCAATTTCGAGTTTACGTAGTACGTTTGCGGGCCACCCCCCCGAGACCCCTACTTCTTCACTTCGTTCGCCAAACACAACTCAGCTGGCGCCTTCTACGAAGGCTGGCTTTCGTAATATATAAACATTATTAAACATGTATTGAGTGTACTGCTTGTCGAGTGCCTCACTAAGTGCACCGCCAACTGATGGCCAAAAGCAAACGGTTCCCATCCCAAAACGGAATAGTCCTAAGGTACCAGTTGCTTGTCAAATGTCTTTTCCTCTTGTTATTGGTTTTCACTGTCCTCTGAGCTGGCCAGCGAATTGCCAAGTGACTGCTACTTACTAGCCGTTCCCCAAAGTAATCAGGTGGGTTTCCATGGATGAATTCCTCCTTCCTACAAGGTGCACACGCTTCTTACTCTGCCCGAACAAACCACCTCACTTTTTGCCATTCAGCATCCAAAGGCCACTGTAGCGCTTGAACCCCTGGGGAGTGAAGTCACCGTGGAAAAACTTCACCACCAACTCCGAGAGGACGGTACCCTTGGGCGGGTCGCCGCCCGCCCCGGTCAACCTGGGCACAAACAAATGCAACGATATCGAGACCCGTCGAAGCAAGTGGGTGTCTCAAAACACTGGTTTCCACGGCCGGACCAAACATATATATATAGTTATATAGTTATATATATATATATGTGTCCTTAAAGAAACAACATTCAGTTGATCAAGTTCTGTGTAACCGATGACAAACTCTATGCATCGGATGGCAGCGTAACCACCGACAGTCCCCACCCCCGATCGGGTGGTATGCGCGCAGTCACAAAACCTTTCGTGCACCAGCCAAAAACAACTCCAAACACCCGATGTCCATGGGTATTCAGGATCTGCACTGCCTGTGTGCCGAACCATTTGACCATACAATAGGAAATCAATAGGTTGTTTGATGTTTCTTTCAAGATGCAAACCACTTTTGGATACTGTAGGTGTCCCTCCCACAAATGAGTTGGTATGAGTTGATGGATGTTGATGGCAAGTCTTCCCTGCTGGGGTGCGGATTGCTTGCTTGACTTTTAGTTTTCCAATTTGGTCCAAACTCCTTGAACATTCACATTCCGGATCGAATTCTTGCGGTCCATTTAGATCAAACCTAGGCAAACAGGTCAAGCCTAGCATTCTGATACCATCACCAATCACCACAACTGACTCATCCAAAGTCGCAAGGAGTTGTAGAAGTTCTGGATGTCCGCATCACTGATATCATACTCTCCGCCCCCGCGCGCAGCCCGCGCCACCTTGGGTGCGTTCGCACCAGTGGCGGGACCCACAAAAGCGAGGTGGGTCAAGGTGAAGGTGCCCACGCAAAGCACTGCGGAGACCAAGAGTCCGTTGGAGCGCATGGCGGCAGGGAACGGGGCGTTCGAAAAAAAAAGCGTTTTAGAGCTGAAAACGTCTGAGTGGAAAGGAGGGACATGAAGAAACATCATCTCTCGCGCACACGTGATATACAGTATATGCATACAATCACCCTATTGAGTACATTCCTTTCAACTCTCACATGTTCCTTTCAACATCTTTCAACAAACAATCGCATGATGCCAAGTGAAGAATCGCACGATGCCAGGTGTGGCTGCTTGGGTGCCCAGGCGACACGCGGCGGGTCTTGCCCGGTGAAGGCCGGCCACCCCCAACGCCTAGGCCGGAAGAGCCGATTGAAACGACCAACGTGACACAACGACCCACGCAGGCATGATCCGACCGGCGGAGACACCCCGGGGCTTGGCCGGCCCCTCGACACCATTTGTGACCGCCGGGTCCTTGAGGATGTGATGTTTTCCTTTCAGATGCACAACTGGGTGTGAGGAGACACGAAGAAGTAGACATCTGGAGTGTGCTTTGTGTAGCAGCTGTGCTTCATGGTGCAACTGGCTGATTCAAGGGACATGTAAGCGTGCTCAGTGCTTGGAATGTGTTTCCTTAGTGTTGAGACGCATCCGTCAGCAGCAGGCAGTGAAGAACCATCAACGTGTATTGCGCATAATGTAAATGTATGTTTATATACATAAATATATATATATATACTATATACAGAATATACTATATACATAGGCACATATGTATACACACACCGTCCATATGCTTTCAAACTAACAAGCTGGTCAAAACTGTGTGAACTGCATGTGCCACATGTCTGCTGCCTCACTGAATGAATCATTACTTGGTTGAATGGTACTTCTCACCATGTAAGGTGTGGACATGTGTGGACCACGGTTTGTGCTTGTGACCGTGGAAGTGCTTTGCCGGGACGGTCTTTAGATGGAAACTCGAAGCAGCTTCCAGTCTCTGTAACTTCAACCAAGAAGCAAAACGAATAGAGCCTCAGCTCGTGCGGCATGCTTCTCAAGAACAGTGCACAAATAGAACTGATCCTCTTGATAAGTAGTAATGCACTTGTTACTAGTAGCGATGCACCTTGATACTAGAAGCTATTTGCTGCTTGTGCATCCGAGGTTTTTCACCCACTGAAAAAAGGGCTTCAACCGAGCCGAGCAGCTTCATGTGAAATTTCTCCACGTCGGGGTTGATGTTCCCCTCAATGCAACTCATCGCTCAAGGAATCAAGGCTTGGGACCCTGAAATAATCTAATATATCATTTGTGCATCCCGATGCATCCCTTCTGAACACCGGGATTGAACATGTCTGAAAATATCTGAAAATAGTCTCAATTTACAGTAAATTGTTCTGTAATCTGAGAAATGTCGCAAAGGAAGTGTCCCGATCCAGCTTCCAAGGATCTAAATCTCGCCAAGTGACGATGGCTCCAAGCAAACAAACCTGCCGAGTCAACTCATATGAACCCAAACTCATGCATACGACTTCAAGTGAAGACTGCCAAGAGCTTCTGCACATGGCTATTCATGGCTTGGTGCAAGGGCAAGGAAGGCTGCATGGGGAGATGAGATTGAGCTCTTGGCCAAGCACAGAGTTGGAACAGGTCCCACCCAAACTAACCAAAAGGAACACATACAAATTGGCCTCTGGCTTCAAGCCCGGCATGTATAGTCTCCCATTGTGGTCCGAAAATAGACCCAATTGCAGGGAAAAACGTTGACATCCCTTCTGCATGTCCGTGAGCTGTCTGAGTGGAAGCGCCACCTGGAAGCAAAGATGCCTGACGACCCGAGGGCCTCCCAATCCTTCGGCAGCTCGTTCATTAGCTTCTCCAGCTTTTCACTGAAACCGTCCACAAGGCGCACATCGTCCTGTTGGGAACGCACTGGGGGCTCCGCAGGTGCTTGCAGGGTCTGCCCAACGGCCAAAAGAGGTTTATAGACTAGGTAGGCGTGAGAAACGCTGATGAAATGAATCGCACGACCTCCCCCTGGGCCCATGAGTTGGAAATGGCGGGTGGTCGTAGGCCATCGTAGGCCTCCCCCCTCCAAGCAGCAACGTCCTCAAGAACCACTACTGATGGCAAATTCTCGTCGACCACCTGGCCAAAATGTGCGGCTTAAACATGTTTACGGTGTCTACTTTATAATATAAATGAGTGATGGAATCTCCCGCCAATATAGCCTCATCTCATTCTTTGTCCATGGCCCCACTCTGTCTGGGGCTGAGTGGGGTAGAATATTATTTGCAGTCACATCTGTAACTAGTGAGCGGAGGCACATAGCACATAACCAGTTTGGGGAGGGAAGTGCATGAAACACCTGCCGCTGAAGATCATGAGTAATGTTGACACCGGATTTATGACCCTCCCCAGGTGTACAGGTTCTGGGATCAAATGATTGAAGGCTTCATCTATTTGAGGGAAGACAGGGCAAGATCAATTGGCAAAATGGACCATGCCATAGAGTGGGGGATTGACACTTGAGGCCAGGGGGAGGAGGTCGAAAGCTAGCCGAATCGCACCGGATGTACTAGTTACATAGTCGGCAAAGCATGTAGTGATTACATGTGTTGGGAGAAAGGTTGCTACGCACATACTTTGCGCTAAAGAATGTAAATGTGACATCGCCGACTGGAAAGGGTACATTGGAACAACATGGGTGCACTCGTTCGCAGGCACGAAGATGCGTGATCGGCAAATCTGGGGGTTAAATTTACCCCCCGGTTTCGTATGCCTTGGGTCGGAAAAAAGGGGTAAGCATTTCTGACACCACACGGACTGTACATACACTAGGGCGTCCGTAGTGTAGGATAAGCACTGGTACAAGGTATAAGGAGTAGAGCGTTTGAGGAAATAGCCGGCTTATGGTTATGGCAAATCTGGGGGGTAGATTTACCCCCCGCTTATGTATGCCTTGAGCCGGAACGAGGGGTAAGCATCACAAGGACTGTGCATACACTAGAGCGTCCGCAGTGTAGGATAAGCACCGGTAAAAGGTATCAGGAATAGAGTGTCTTGAGGAAATAGCCGGCTTATGGTTATGGCAAATCTGGGGGGGTAAATTTACACCCCGCTTATGTATGCCTTGAGCCGGAAAAGAGGGGTAAGCATTTCTGACACCACACGGACTGTACATACACTAGGGCGTCCGTAGTGTAGGATAAGCACTGGTACAAGGTATAAGGACTAGAGTGTCTTGAGGGAATAGTTGGCTTATGGTTATGGCAAATCTGGGGGGGTAAATTTACCCCCCGCTTATGTATGCCTTCAGCCGGAAAGGGGGTAAGCATCACAAGGACTGTGCATACACGGGCGTCCGTAGTGTAAGACAAGCACTGGTAAAAGGTATCAGGGATAGAGCGTCTTGAGGAAATAGCCAGTGTATGGTTATAGCAAACCTGGGTGGTAAATTAGCCACCCGCTTATGCATGCATTAGGTTAGAAATAGGGGTAAAGAACTTGTAACAGTGAAGTACAAGTCCTATGCAGCAAGCAGCAGCCAGCAGCAGCAGCAGCCGCCAGCAGCAACCACCAACCAGCAGCCAGCCAACAGCACCACGCAGCAGCAGCGCAGCACCAAGCCGCAGCAGCAGCAGCACCACCACCAGCAGCAAGCAGCAAGCAGCAGCAGCAGCAGCAGCAAGCAGCAAGCAGCAGCAGCAGCGGCGTCGTCAGCAGCAACAGCAGCAGCAGCAGCAGCACCAGGCCACAACAAGTAGCAAAGCAGCAGCTACAAAAGCGGCAACCAGCGCCAGCAGCAAGCAGCAGAGCGGCAGCAGCAGCACCGTTTACACCAAGCCACCGTTTACACCCAACCAACTACGTTCACACTCGTTCAACCAACCCCCGCTACACGGCGCAGCTGGGAGTCGAACCGTGGGTGGGGGGGGTTAGCGTGATATATCAAGCTTTAAGGCACGCAGCTCATCCCACTACCAATTGCTAAAGAAAAGAAGAACTCAGCTAGCATGCTAGCTTTCGTGATTTTGCCAAACCACACATGTCCAAGACAGTAAATTCAAACACTTTGCTCTCAGGCAATGAAGATTCATCAACTGACGAGGCGCAGCCGAAATGTTATGTGATGCATCCACAAGAAAAAAAGGGCAAATGATCATGCTTCCGACGAAGCTGACCATGCTTCCGACAAAGCTCGTCAATGAATCCTAAATACAAACACTAAATCAGTGGATGTTTTGCAAAAACGCAGGCAAAATCCCATGAGTGTCATCTTGATTCTCCTGTAATTACATGTGTTTCCGCTATCCAGGATCATCCAAAATTCAAGTGCATGTCTTTGACATCCTGGTGTTGAAAATGCAAAACAAAACACCAGCAATTTCCAACGTGTAACAACACCCCCACTAATGCCGGGGGGGGGGGGGGGGGGGGGCCTTAGCGTGATATATCCCCCTTGGGGGGGGGGGCCCGCCCCCCCCCCCCTTAGTGTGATATATCAAGCTTTAAGGCACGCAGCTCATTCCACTACCAATTGCTAAAGCAAAGAAGAACTCAGCTAGCATGCTAGCTTTCGTGATTAAAGTAGAAGCGATGAACAAAGGCAACAAAAAACAGGAGACAATTGGAATCAATTGGACAACACTTATTGCGAGGTTCTTCAGACAAAAACATGCAAATCTGAAAAAATCAAGATGGAACCCACGAACCCGAACGCAAACACGTTCGAAAAACTACATATGTCCAAAAGACACTCTTGTAGGAGACTCTTGTGAGACACTCTTGTGGGTCACTTGCAGGACACTCTTGTGGGACACTCTTGTAGGAAACTCTTGTGGGACACTCTTGTGGGACACTCTTGTCGGACTCTTGTGGGACACTCTTGTCGGACACTCTTAAGGGACACTCTTGT